CACAGCTGGATTCTTACACTGGTAGAAATGTGTCTTTTAAATGGAGTGTCCTAAAATGATTCATGGGGAATTCAGTGAACTTTTTGTGGTAGAAGCCTTTGCTGCATAGCTGCTGGTTAAGATAGTGCTTTTTGACAGCAGTTGAAGTTACAACTGAAATTTAGAACAGTTTCAGAGCTATCATTTATGAAATGGAAATATGTATATATGTTTATATACATATATACACACACACATACCTGTTCAACACAGCTGCATAGGGAAGATGCAGCTTAAATGTGCATTTCCCTCTTTTAAATGCCTATATCTGACTTCATTGGAATTTCAGAATATATACACTTAAGTTACCCATATTCAACCACTAGAGACAAGAGCTGATAATTGTACCTTCTAGTCCACTCAGTAGCAGATGTTCTGGATGGGTCTTCCAAAAGGAGATGGGGTCTTCATTTGGTCTTCAACCAACATCTGTATGTTCTAATATTGAAGGAAAAAAATAGCTTCATTTGACTTACTTTGAGATTGTACCATGATCTTCAACCATGGTGTCTTCTAAAGGGAATTTTAAGATCAGTTTTGACTCTCTACTATTATACATGCATAATATGTGTTTCCGCATGGGTACATGACAATGTTCTGGGTCTGTGTTGAGTGCTACTAACAGGAATTTAGTTCTAGCAAGACATGTTTGGATATACTTACAGAAATTCCATTGGTATGAGGGCTCAAAGAATCCTCTGAGAGAGATAATCACTGACTTACTGATCAGGAGCCAAAGGCTCATCTCTCTGTTCTCTGAGCTTGGGGAAGAGGTAACATCATTCTACCCTTAAAGCATAGAAGTACTGCTATGATGATTTAGGTCAAAGGATATTCTATTGGCTATTTTTGACTAAGTATTCAAGCTTCTAATCTACCACAAAGATTCACTGGCAAAGATGGAAAGATATGCATAAAGTTATTCACTGGAGCACTATTTGCTTATTAGAAACAACTCAAATGTCAGTCAAAAGGACACCATTAACTATGATGCATCCACATGATGGAATAACATACAGAAGTAAAAAGAAGAAGGGTATCTATATACTCCTGTGAGAACATCTCTGGGATATATTCTTAATGAAAGCATATAAAGACATGATCAGTATAACAAAACAAAATGAAAAATTGAATCTGTGTATTGAGTTGATGTCACATCCCTTCAGGGAGGAAGTATAACTAGTGACTTGAAACATGGGAATTGACTATAAATCCCAAGTGGAATATATCCATAGAACAAAAGGAACTGAGAAAATATCTCCAAATATGTTTAATAATTATATTGTTGCTATCATTATTCTAAGACTGCTTTGTAGGGATAGCAAATCAGTAATTCTGAAGGCATTGTTGGGAACCAAGATTTTGGGTATGACAAGAAATGTAGTTGTGAGGTAGACAAGACCAAATAAAAACTGTGTAGTCATGAGCTGGAATTTACATTGAAAACATTAGTATAAACTTATGATGCTTTCTCTATATCTGTGTTTCTATCTATCTATTATCTATCTATCTATCTATCTATCTATCTATCTATCTATCTATCTATCTATCTAATCTGTCATCTCTGTTCTCTTAGTTTTGTTCCTTGAAGAGGTCTAGAAACAGTGAGTAACTCATTAGGATTGAGCATCTCTAAAAACATGTATTATGATCTCCTAAGAACTAGGGGTCCTTAGAGAAATAGCTGGCTTCAGTTCTGTGTCAAGACATTATCAAAATGTACCTTCCACATCTGGTTATACCTGAAAACAGTTGATGGTCCCTTTTTGACTGACATTTGAGTTGTTTCTAATAAGCAATACCTGAAGTCAGTTACCCTGAGAATCTCCTAGTATTGTAGAAAATCTAACACTATTGACAACTACAATGGTTGCATCAAAAGGAGTTAGGAGCCAGCTTGCAGGGGCTTCCATTCGGATATCAATAAAAATAGGAATTGCAATGTTGAAGTGCACCAACTATATTTAAATTTATGAGTTTATAATAAATTTATCAAAAAAGAAGTTCCCTGGGAATTGATGTCAGTGTGGCTGTGACATATCCCAAGGACAGGTAAAGGATGGCCCAGGTGGTCAGGGACAGCAGGTGACGGACGACATGGCGGCCATAAGGCAGCAGAGCACGGCGTAGGTACTGACACTGGCTTAGCAGCAGCCGGTGTCAATAAGCCCGGAGGAGCCACGTGTGCCATGCTGGGACCAGCCAGTGGAGAGGGGGCTGGGAAAGGCGCTGTGGGCTGAGCATCCAGAGAGGCCTGGTGGGATAGGAAACCACAGGTAGCTCTCGCCGTCATATTCAGCTCCATGTTGTCATTTCTCTGATGCTGTGACCTGGGAAATTATACTTCTGAGTGTGAATATCAAGGAAATTCAAGTCAGTTACCCTGAGAATCTCCTAGTATTGTAGAAAAATCTAAACACAGAGTTTTAGTATTAAAATCTAAACACAGAGTTTAGTATTAAAATCAACCAACTTGATTAGAAACTAAAACGCTTTCTGGCTCTTTTATTTCAAGTAGAAAATCTGTCTGAAAACTAAGATCCTCTGCAGCCATCTTGCTGGGATTCATATCTGAAAAAAGGTTTTTGCTTCCCGTTGAAACTCTCCACACTCCATCAATAATTCCTCTTCATTTCTGCTCTCCTAGAGCTAAGTGAGTGACTCGGGTCATCTTTAAATCATAGATACTGTCAGTTCCTCTGTAGGGTTATGTTCGAGCAGGGACACAGGCTAAGCACGCTTGGCTCATGAAGCCTGATGTTTTTCCTGACTGATGTGCTATGATTAAATTTAGGTTTTTATGACTGCAGGCTTATTTCCTGGTTTTTCAGATTTAAAGAAACTATTTGAAATAATAAACTTCCTTCTTTTATTATGATTGAATCTATGGTGGTAATAAAAAACACAGAAGAGCTGTGCATTGAGGTAACCATGACTCTGTAACTTTTAGCCAACTTTTGATATTAACAAAGGACTGATATGCAGGAAAAAAATAAGCTTCCTTGAAGCAAATGTTCTGGTCAGCTTCACCCCAATCTTTTCCTTTCAATATCCATGATATTCTGCATTTGGGAGAGAGCAGTGATCTATGGAGTTTCAAGCCTGGAGACCCAGAAACTGGTCTCATGCATTGAAAAATCTGAGACTCACCATTCTCCCTCTTCTTCCTCTCTCCAGGTATTCCCTTTTTTTTTCTTTCTTTCTTAATTAAACTTTTATTTTGACATAATTGTAAATTCATATGCAGTTGTAGGAAATAAAACGTGTACCCTTCCCCAGTTTGCCTCCATGATAACATCTTGCAGGAGTACAATACAGTATTATAAACAGGAACTTGACATTGATGTAATCCACTGACCTTATTCAGATGTCACCACTTTACATGTACTCACTGGTGTACTTGTGTAATAACTAGATTTTTAACAATTGTTCATACTGTTGATTCTGACTGTTATGCAAGTGATAGTTTGTTGTTAGTCGTATGTGAAGTTTTATACAGTGTTTATTATAACTGTTCAGTATAACATTTTACTTTACTGTAAGTGTACTTCATCTTTTCACTAATTTTACAGCCCTAAGGACAACATAGCACTCAGCAATCTGTAATTGTCCTGAAGGCAAGTGCAGCAAGGCCTTACAACGAAACAAACCTAGGCTGGAATCCTGACTGTTTTTTGCCAGCTGTATCAGGATTGTTGTTAGGATTAGAGAACATCTATGACCAATGCCTAATGTCATCGATATAGAGCAGGTACTCAAGAAATAGAATGTATTCCTATTATTGCTGGTGCTAATGAGAATTGTGTATGTTACACATCTGAGAAAGCAAATTTATGAGTTGATATTTCCAAAGGTATTGAGTATTATTAATTCTTCCCTTACTGCCCTTTATAGTTTACGAAACACTTTCTCATCCATTACGTCACTCAGTCCACCCAGCAACATGATAACTTTAGGCTGCTTCAGCTTCCTGAGTATGAGTTCCCGTCCTCTCCTGGGTTTTCATAAAGCCTTTAATGAATTTTCCTCATTATCTTTCAACCAAGATGAGATGTGTTTAGGTTGACTGTGGCGTTTGGGTCATGGGGAACTCCAACTCAGACCACAGCTGGAGAGCAGGTAAATGAGCACAACTCCCCTTCAGATGCCTTTTTCTGCTTGACTTTTGCGCAGTGTATCCTTGCTCTGCTAAAGTGGCATCATCTTCATTGCTTGGTTTCCCAATATGCTGAAGCAGGTTTCCTAAATAAACTGTTACCAAGTTTGGTCATTCTTTAATCCTTTCTACAGTTCTTCACTTGTGGAGACCACATCCTCCAACATGATCTAGAGAGGAATCCAGAGGAAAATCTCAGGAAACTGTTTGACATCCTTGATTTGTGCCTCCAGAGTATTTTCTTTACCACCAGCTTATAATTCCTGCCCACTTGTTTTCTGGGATTTAAAGATCACAAAAATGTAAAAAAATTGGGAGAGGAAGGTTAGAGGGTATAGACACGAGGCCCCAGAGGTTACAAGAGATTGCGTTACAGTATATCCTCCTGAAGAGCACGAGAGAGTGGCTGTGCAGTTCTGACTGGTCGTGTGATGGAACCTGGGGACCAGGGGCACTGGTGCCTGAGAGGGGCCGGCGTCTAACACACTTCCTTCCCTTTTTATGGGCAGCTTTATAAAGAGAAGCCTGGGTATGCAATGAGCTAGTACCAAATATAGCTTTTCTCAATCTGGCAATTATAATTAATGTCATCTCCTTCCTGACCAAAGCATTAAGTTTTATGTTTTTCTTAGTTTTTGCCTTTGTTCTACATTATCATAGTATTTTTTTCAGAGTTAGAAGTGGTTGCACTGGAGATCACTATTCAGAAACCATTTTTGAATACTGTTTTATGTGCTAGCAATTTTTCTTACCCCTGTCCTTTAAGTAGATTATAAGTTATTTAGTCCTTTTGTGTGATAACTACCTCATTGTGTCTGCTTCTAGGCCATGCACAGATTGTCCATCTCCTTTTAGAAAGAAATAAGTCTGGAACTATCCCATCTGATAGCCAAGGAGCAACACCCATGCACTATGCAGCCCAGAGTAACTTTGCTGTAAGTAAAACATGACAATTGTCTTCTTTCTTAATTAAACTTTTATTTTGACATAATTGTAAATTCATATGCAGTTGTAGGAAATAAAACGTGTACCCTTCACCAGTTTGCCTCCATGGTAACATCTTGCAGAAGTACAATACAGTATTATAAACAGGAACTTGACATTGATGTAATCCACTGACCTTATTCAGATGTCACCACTTTACATGTACTCACTGGTATGCTTGTGTAACAACTAGGTTTTTAACAATTGTTCATACTGTTGATTCTGACTGTTATGCAAGTGATAGTTTGTTGTTAGTCACATGTGAAGTTTTATACAGTGTTTATTATAACTGTTCAGTATAACATTTTGCTTTACTGTAAGTGTACTTCATCTTTTCACTAATTTTACAGCCCTAAGGACAACATAGCACTCAGCAATCTGTAATTGTCCTGAAGGCAAGTGCAGCAAGGCCTTACAACGAGACAAACCGAGGCTGGAATCCTGACTGTTTTTTGCCAGCTGTATCAGGATTGTTGTTAGGATTAGAGAACATCTATGACCAATGCCTAATGTCATTGGTATAGAGCAGGTACTCAAGAAATAGAATGTATTCCTATTATTGCTGGTGCTAATGAGAATTGTGTATGTTACACATCTGAGAAAGCAAATTTATGAGTTGATATTTCCAAAGGTATTGAGTATTATTAATTCTTCCCTTACTGCCCTTTATAGTTTACGAAACACTTTCTCATCCATTACGTCACTCAGTCCACCCAGCAACATGATAACTTTAGGCTGCTTCAGCTTCCTGAGTATGAGTCACCACCAGGAACTAGAGACTCATCCACAGAGGCACATGGTAATGCAGCCCCGTTGATTTTGCTGCCTTCTAAGTGGGCGTGCATAATCAAACACTTGTTTTCATTAAATTATAAGAATGCTCTCACCAGCGTAGTATAATTCCATCTGCCTGGCCTCCCCAAATGCACTGCTGAACATATTGAATACTCAGTTTGCTAAAATATCTTATCTTCCCACCTTCTTTCTTTCTGGTATCCAGAGCAACTAGAGCTGTAGTCCTTCCTGACATTCCTAAAAATTTATTCTATTTATCACCTTGAGTTTTAGTGCACTGTTATCTTCTGTTATTTCCAAAGATCTCAGAAAGATACAAAGCAGTACTTTGAGGAGGAGCTTTTTCTCATTACAGATAGATAAGAAATTTAGTTGACCCAGTCTGGTCAATCCATGGAAATCAGAGCTCAATCCATATTTCAACACAAGTCAGTGAGAGAGCATGTTATCCCTATTTACAGATGAAGAAGACAAGGATCCAAGAGATTAAATGACTTGCTGAAAATCTTGAACCAAAGTCTTAGACTCCAAATTTAATATATGTACAGATACCAGTAATTAAGTAACTGTGCTAATGGGAGTAGGAAAGAATGGTACATTATGAACGTTTACTCAAAGAAATACTTGCTTTGGATAATCTACCAATGACAGAGATGATTTTTTTAAATAATAACACAAATTTTCTAATCTCAGTTTCCAGCCCCTTGACCTCCTTGGACTCTATTAACTCCTAAGAATTTGTATTGTCTTTTTAAAAAACATCAACAGCAACAACAACAAAAAAAAACCCAAAACCCTTGCAGACATTCACCATTAAGAAAATATACTCAACAGGGAAATGTTTGCAAATCAGTAAAAGAAAACAAACCATAAAATCACCAACGTTTTTTTTGTTCATTTCTTTACTCAAATCTAGTGTGTACTAAGCAGACACACTGGGTCTAGGAGCACTAAGCTATAACAAACTGAGCAGGTCAACAACTGGTTTTACGACTAGAAAGCAGTGTTTGATGTGGACACAGTGCTGTGGTTTAGCCCTGGGTTCTATTTCTCTATCTGCCTGTATCAAGTTTTGTATGACCTTGAATCCAAATTTCTTCCATCTGTAAAAGGAGAGGATTGGATGAGCCCTTGAATTTCTTCTTGCTCTAAAATACTGAGCATTTCATATATTTTTGGCTAGTGCCCAGCCTCCAGGATTTTTTTCTGAAACTATTTTACTTTCACTCAAGCAAAAAAATTTTTCCTATGAACTTCCTAAAAATATGTATGCTTCTGAGTTTTAAGGAAGGAGGCAATTTAAAATGCTGTGAATATTAACCCCCATTAAAATTTTCAGGCACTCTAAGAATTATCTAGGGTCCTAATTTTTGTATGACTCCATGGAGGGAGGACCTTGAATATAGGAATTGTTAAATAAATATTTATTTAAGTGAACTGAATACTTCATTTCTCGGTAGCCACCCATCATTATTCAAAAAATGCATTAATTATTTTGTTAAATTATAGTTATAAAACACGCAGTAAAAAAATGTATTAACCTTCCCTGTAGGCATGACTGAATATACAGGTCTAGCTAAAAAAAACCCTGTATTTTAATGTTGGTCATGACACCAAATATTTCTTTTATGTGCCATTTCATCTCTCTAACAGTGACCTACAAAGTTTTTAAACTTGATTGAGGATGAGCATTCTCAACTAGGAAGGTGTTGAATGAAGGTGTTACTTATGTTTTGGAAGTGCGATGGAAACTAAAACTTAAGTATAAGAACAGAAGATTGTTATTTTCAATGGAAATTTTAGTTCCATTATTCATAAAGATTATTTCATTTGATTCAAAAGCAGGAAAAAAATACTTTGTTTCTTAGTGGAAGTCACCTAACCTGCTGCTCTCTTGTCTCAATTTTTTAATGAAATTTTCTTAAAGGAAACTGTTCAAGTATTTTTAAAACACCCTTCGGTGAAAGATGATTCAGATCTCGAAGGACGAACATCCTTTATGTGGGCCGCTGGGAAAGGCAGTGATGATGTCCTTAGGACTATGCTGAGTTTAAAAGCTGACATTGATATTAACATGGCAGACAAGTATGGAGGTACAGGTAAGAACTGATAGATATATTAAATTTGCTTTTTTCAGGCTCCAAAGTGTAGATGGTGCTATAAAACTTGTACAGTAGTACCTTGAAATCATAGTTCCTTTTGTGATATTGTTTGACTTTAATCCTCACTTTCTAACTTTTAGGTTGCTAGGATGTCACTCCAAAGGCTTCATTTCTCCAATTAGTGTGGCTAAATTAGTCTGTGTTTCTACGAGATGAAGGGTAGCATTTGGTTTAAACCCAGGTTGCTCCTTAATCATGATTATGGAAACTCTTCTGATCATTACCTTTGTGTACAAAAGCATAAACCTGTACTTTAATATAACTATGCATATTTAGTAGTTATCAGTTACATTTTCAAAAATTGATAATTATATTTTAAGGAATGCACATCTCTAAGTATGTTCTCATTTACTCTTTTCTCAAAGAATAGCATTACTTCATCCTGAATCTCCGATTTTAGAGATAACTTCCCATGACTTTAGAAGCTTCAAAGGTTCAATTCACCTTTGCATCAAAAGCTCTTACTGGATGCTCCTTTTAATCTCTTTCTCTAATAAGAGAGCCTCTTAACTATGTGTTGGTCGACAGAGGTATGAACGTTTTAGCATTCATTGCCAACTTGGAGGTCTCTTCTTGGTATATGATATACTAATTGCAAGTCAGAATGAGAAAGAAAAACCTCACAACCGCACAATAATAGCACTGAACAGAATAAATACTCAGCTAGGAGGTTCTCAGTGTTAAATTTCCATATACGTATAAACATAGGTGCAGTCATTTGCACCTACCTTTTGTTCTGGATAAGAGCTCTCTTGGCCACCAAAACCACAGATGCAGCACTTGGAGGAGAGAGGCAACAGGAGTTACTATACCTATTAATCTCCCTCCCTGTACCTAGACCACCGAGATAGTAACAAAATATCAATTTCATTAAAGGCTTTAACTTTAAAAAGTATTTCTTTATCAAAGCTTCATGGTGGACCTTAAGCTTCTTAAGAGTTGTGCTGCAGACACATAGGACATTGAGTTTATAAATGGACTGAACATTTAATTTTTTGTCAAGTTCCTTTAGTAAGCAGTCTTTTACTTTATCACTAGCCTTGCTTGTAGTTTAACTTTTTCATGTTATTTTAATAAATAAGGGCAAGGATGCTTGCATCCTTTTGACCAAAGATGTCTTTCTGATGTGCACCATAGTTGCAGCCAGCTATAAATTTTTCTCAGATTCATTAATTCCCTGGCTCTTTCTCCTAGGGGAGTTTTGTTATATGACAAAGATGCCTTCCTGACATTTCTGTTTTATGACAGTGAGTTTCTCACCATCATCCCTCTACAGTGTTGTTTATTCTTTCCCATTAGAAAAGAGTTCTTATCAACAGCAATATACAGATATTATTTGGATCTTGATTCAAATAAATCAAAAAAAGTTATAAAGCCACTAAGAAAATGTGAATACTATCCAGATATTTGATATAACAGAATTTTTGTTAATATTTTTTAGTTATAACAATGGTACTATCCTTTCTTTGCAATGCTGGGACCCCCTGGGGGTTCTGGGGACCACATTTCCCCTTGGCCAGCAGGTGCCCTGTTAGAATCACTCCTTGGGGGCAGCGGAGGGAGACTGGAAGCCTGGCAGAGGAAACAGAGCGGCTCCCCGTTCGTGTCGGCATCACCCTAGTAAGCTCTCCTCAACAGGGCAGGGGTAATTTGTTGCAATGGCTGCCGCTAACTTCACTCTGCAGTTTTCTACACAATCACAGCGCCAACCTCAGAACACCCTCCTCACAGACTCCAGCTCCAGCCAAGCAGAGTTTTAATAACTCCCATCTTCTTTTTGCCCCCCCAGCCCTAGAACTGCTAGCTGTTTGCTGCTTTTGCCCTCTGTGATGTCTTAGTGTTCTCTTTTGCTTCTTCAGTTCTTCAGTCCATAGCTAACACTTCTTTATATTGAATTCTCTATGTTTTAAGTATCTAGCATGGTTTCTGTCTCCTAAATGGACGCTGGCTGATATAGTAGTGGTTGTGTTTTTAAAAAAAATTCTCGTCTTTTTAGATATACTTATTAAAATATTTACAAATGAAAGAGCATGACTAGAATTTTATTCAAAACAGAAAGGTGGTATGTAAAAACTTGTTCATTATGCTTCAGAAGATTGGAGACTGTTGGGAATTAGGCTTGGGGTTGATTAATGATTGTGCTTTGAGTCCCCTATACAGAATTTTATTGTTGTTAACAACCATATAATCAATAAATATGAGAGATGCCCTCTCAAAAAATAATAAATAAACAAAAAATAAAATGTGGAATAAGAAAAAAACAAAACAAAACAGAAGGTGGTGAGAGAATGGTTGGTGGGTAGATGAAACAAGAGTAAGCATGTACTGATAATTGTTGAAGGTGGGTGAAGGCTATATTGAATTCACTGGACTATTGAATATGTTTACTTATGAATAGGTTTGAAATTTTTCATAACATAAGGTTAAAATTTTTTAAAACTTTAGATCTGTAAACTTGTGGCATTTTTTCAAAGAGAGAGCAACAACAGTTAAATATCAGATTATTTTTAAATAAATGCAAATAGTCAGAAATGGGGAATTTCATTTAATAAGATCATTAATTCTGTTTTCTGCTTAACTGAAATTTTGTTTTCATTTGACATTGACATTTATCTGAAGAGTATCTGATGCATACTGATGCCACAACACAAAATTGTAGAATTTCAGAATTAGAAAGCACCTTAAAATTAAATTTAGTCGAGAGTTTCCAAGCTGTGCTCTTCAGAACGACAGGTTTCTATAAAGGTACCCGAGGTGTTGCAGGGGTGGGGGTTGGGGGATGGGTGCTTAAGTGGGTAACCCTCCACTCCTACTTTAGTCAGAACCACTCAACCCTTATCTGGTTTATATGTTGAGTGTTTTATAAAATTTCACTTGCGGGGGGAAAGCATTCTTGTGCCATTAAAATGTGAAAAATCACTGAACTATCTCATCTGTACGGTGCTTTAATCTGCCTTATAACATTCTCACCAGAGGTCTTCCAGCCTCTGGCTGAACAGCTCCAATATAGGGAACCCACTACTTCCATCTTAACCTAACTCAATTGGAATGTTTTTCCTTATACTGGGCCACAGTTTGTCAAACTGAATGTTTCAGGCTGCGCTCTCTGAAGTGACAGCACTTCAGATATGTGAAGTCTCTCACTCTTGTCTGCATCTTGTTTAGGCCAAACTGACATTCAGCCATTTAGGTCAGGAGTCTTAAACTCAAGTACGTGTAAGAGAATTACTTGGGGAATTGCAGATTCCCAGAACATACAGACAAATATCCTATTTCACATCCTGTCAACAAGTCCTGTTGACTCCACCTCTAAAATATATTCTAGATCTTTCTGCTCCTCACTATTTCCATTCCTGCCACCCCAGTTCAAGCCACCATCATCTTTTGCCCAGTCTACTGCAACAGAGGTCACTGGCCTCCCTGTTTATGTTCTAATCTACTACAGTGCATACTTCTCACAACAGCTAGAGTGATCTGTTGAAAGCATAAATCAAATTATCACTTATTCACTTAAACCCTTTCAGTGTCTTCCATTGCTCTGACTTATATAGCCTCTTATCATAAGGCCTTCTCTACCTCACTGACTTAACCCACTCTCATTTATTGCTTGCAGCTCCCTTGCCTTCCTTAAACACAGAGATTCATTCCTGTCCTGTCCTATCTGTTCTCATTGCCCAACTACTCTCTCTTGAGATCACGACATCACTGTCCCGTTTTTATGATTCAGGTCTCAAATGTCAGTTCCTTAGCACAGCTTGCCCTAACCAACAATCAAAAGTAGTCCCCCAGGTGCTCTGCATATCAAAATACCTTTTATTTTAATTACAGCATCCATCACTGTGTAATAGTTTCTTGTTTATTGATTTGGTTTTTTTGTTTTATTTTCTTTTGCTTCCCCTACTAGAATGTACCCTCATCTGTTTTGTTCCCTGGGGAATTCTCAGCATTACATTAGTACCCAGCCTGTAGTAGGTTCTGAACAAATCCCCAGAAATCTGCATTTTTATAGGCATCCCAGGTTTGGTTAATGGATCATACTTTATGAAAGAAACATTGTTCCAAGCATTATAAAGCCATAATACTTAGAAAGAACTGCCCAGGCTTCTAGACAGTTATCTTGGCAATTTCAGAATTTAAAGAGGGATGAATTTAAATAGAATTTAAGGAGTCATCTAAAGGGTGATGGCATTTATCAAGCAATGGGGTATAATAACATAGTTAGGGGATCAATATAAGATGAAACTTAACATGTAACCAAAATTACTCTTTCAAACCCCTTATGAAAATACCAGACAGGAGGCCACATTCCATCTATTTTTCCTCCACTACTGAAACAAATTGCTGTTTCTTAAACTGGCCCTGAAAAAATAACTTGCTTGCATGTCATATGAGAAGTGTGCTCAGTGCAGTAAGAGGGTGCCCGTTGTGCCATGTCGGTGTACAGACCAACCACAGGAACAGCCCGGGGAACCAAACTGGAGGAACATTAGTGGACCTCTCCCGTCACACAGCCCTCCAGGCATATACTTACTGAGTGGGTTAGTGGGCAGAAGTGAGTGCATTGTCATTTAAATCATTTCTCTGTGTCATTCTTTTATTCTCTTACTCTTAGAGGAAAAGATAATAAACTAGTAACTGAGAAGAGGAGACCATTGCAGACCAACAGTATGGAGGAAGAAAAGAGAGGGAAAAGGTGTGACTAATCCATATGCATGGAGAGGAAGACAGAAATCTATAACATTGAAAAGTAGAGAATCCTTAAGATTAAGTGGCATTTAGCCAAAATGATGAGGAAAAGGTACACAGAATAATAAAAATGTCAAGTTGTTTATAAAGAGCCCTTCACTTTCTTTTGCTCCCTTTTAGCTTTACATGCTGCCGCCCTTTCTGGCCACGTCAGCACCGTGAAGTTATTACTGGAAAACAATGCTCAAGTAGATGCTACAGATGTCATGAAACATACTCCACTTTTCCGAGCCTGTGAGATGGGACACAAAGATGTGATCCAGACACTTATTAAAGGTTAGTTGTTTGTACTACTCCTAACAAGTCACTCTCAACAGGTAGGAATTCTTGCATTCACTATTTCAAATACGACTTTACATAGCTGAGCGCCGCTGGGTAGAGGGAAGGAGGGGGGAGGAGCTGCACGCCCGGCACTGGGAACTCCACGCCTAGCTGCACCTGTTGAGAGTTGTTTGAGCTTACCGGCTTATTATGAAAATCTAAGGCAGATAATATACATAGAAGCGTTTTGCTACTAGTAAGGCTTTTAAGGGACTGTTGTAATATTTTTTTAACTTCTATTCATTTTTATAAATTCTTTCAGTATTAGACATTTTCATCAAATTTTTGCTTTTTTCAGGTGGAGCAAGGGTAGATCTAGTTGACCAAGATGGACATTCTCTTTTACACTGGGCAGCACTGGGAGGAAATGCTGACGTTTGCCAGATACTAATAGAAAATAAGATCAATCCAAATGTTCAAGATTATGCAGGACGCACCCCTTTGCAGTGTGCTGCATATGGGGGATACATCAACTGCATGGCAGTGCTCATGGAAAATAATGCAGACCCTAACATTCAAGACAAAGAGGTAGAAATTCTAGGTTTTTTAATATATTGTTTCTTGAAAGTGTTCAAATTATTTTTTTGTTAACTAAAATTAAGTAAAACAATTTATCAAATTAAGAGATTACTCACAAATCTGCTCATTAGAAATGATTTTTACTTACAGAAGTAGTATATTAAGCTACTTTCCAGTTCTATTAGTTATGTGTATTGTTTTGGATTACCTACATAAAAATAATATCTATGAAGAGTAACATTTTTATTTCTTCCTTTCCAGTCCTTCTGCCTTTCATTTCTTTGTCATCTTATTAAACTAGCCACAACCTCCAATACAATGTGGCAATATTTCACCACTGAATATGATATTTGCTATAGTTTCCTTTATATTTCTAGTTGCTAGGAGTCTTTTTTAAATCACAATTAGCTGTTTAATTTTTCTCTGATACCATTTCTACATCTATCAACATGATCATATTATTTTTCTCCTCTTTGCTGTCAATATGGTGAATTACATTGATTACATTGTTTTTTTTCAGATGTTAAACCACCCTTTCATTCCTGGAGTAAACGAGACTTATATTTTTAAAATATATATATTGATGGATTTTATTAGCTAATATTCTGAGATTTTTGCATCTATGTTCATGAGCAAGATTGACCTGTAATTTCCCTTTCTTGTGTTTCACTTGTCAGGTTTTGGTAGCAAGTTTACGCTGACCTTATAAAAAGAGTTAAGAAATAGTCCCTCTTTCCTTATTCTCCTAAATAATTTGTGTAAGATTGGTATTACTTCTTCCTTAAAGTTTTGGAGAAATTCCCAAGTGAAGTCACCTGTTCTGGAGGTTTTCTTTGTGCAAAAGTTGTTAATGACTGATTCAGTTCCATTAATAATGGTAGACTATTCAGATTTTCTAATTATTTACCCTTCAGCTTTGGTAAGATGAAAAATTTGGTAAATTCTTGAGAAATTTACCCATTCTTCATTAAAAATATCAAATGTATTTGCATAAAGTTGGTTGCATATTCTATTAGCTGTAGAACCTGATTTCCTCTTACATATTTCATATATTGCTCAAGTGTTTTATCTCTTCGTTTCTAAAAACTTTTCCATCTAGTTTATTCATCTTTATGAAGAACTTCTATCTTTGTTGATTTTCTGTATTTCAAGTTTTTTTTTTTACTACTTCATTGGTGTTTACCCTTATCTTTATTATTTCCTACCATCTGCTTTCCTAAGGTTTGATTTACTATTTTTTTAAAGATCCTCTTGATGAAAGCTTAAACCTTGATTCTTTTTCAATATTCTTTCAACATATGTATTTAAGTGTGCTTCTTTCTTCTAAGCACTGCTTTAGCTAGATCTTACAAGTTTGGGTAAATTGTACAATCATCATCATTCAGCTCAAACATTTTCTAATTTCTGATTTTCTAATCTTGATTTGTTATTTGATCCACAGAATATTTAGAAGTGTATTATTTTTCAGGCAGTTGGGCATTTTCTCATTACCCTTTTGTTATTCATTATATTCATTTCCTATTTAACAAATTACTACAAACATAGGTCTTAGAAATTTATTTTCTTACTGTTCTAGATGTTAAAAATCCAAAGTGGGCCTCACTGGGCTAAAAATCAAGGTGTCAACAGGCTACATTTTTTTAGAGGCTTTAGGGGAAAATCTGTTTCCTTGACTTTTCTAGCTTCTAGAAGGTGCTCTCATTCCTTGGCTTGTTTCCTCATTGCTCCGCCTTCAGAGCCGGCAATGACTGACCAAGTGTTTTCTCATACTGCATCACTCTGACACTGCTTCTGCCTCCCTCTTTCACTTGTAAGGACCCTTATGATTATACTGGGCCTACCCAGATAATCCAGAATAATCTCCCCCATTGACTAGCAACCTGAGTTCCATCTACAACCTTAATTCCCCCTTTCCGTAGAAATAACATAGTAACAAATTCCAGAGACTAAGAGGTAGACATGTTTGCAGGCAGTGCTTTATTCTGCCTACCACACTGACTTGTAGCTTAAATTTTACTATGGTTGGAAAACATACTCTGAATCGTCTTTCAAAATCTTTTGAATCTCTCTTTATGGACCAGCATATCGATGATTTTGGTAAATTCTGTGTATACTTGAGTACTAGTTTTGTCATTGTTAGGTGCAATGTTTTATACTTATCACTTAGGTCAAATTTTTATAGTACTGTTCAAGTCTTCTATATCTTTACTGCTCTTTTATCTGTTTGTTCTACAAACTATATAAAAGGTGGGTTAGAAATCTCCCACTGTCATTATGGATTTAACCATCTAGCCTTCTAATTTTGTCAATTTTCATCCTGTGTATTTAGAAGCTGTGTTATTAGCTGCATACTGATTTAGGATTGGGATATCCTCCTCTCTGACTCTGTTAACACTATGAAGTATCCCTCTTTATCTCTAGTAATGCTTCATGCTTTATCTTCCATGACGTTGAATTTTTTTAAGGCAATTGATTTTATAGAATGTCACTCAATTGAGTTTGTCTTATGATTCCTCATAATTAAGTTCAAGTATTATATTTTTGGTTGGAGTATTATATAAACGATACCAAGTCTTTCACAGGGTATCACCTCTAGAGACTTATGATCCCCTAATTTAACACAGTATTAATTTTGATCACCTAACTAAGGTGCTGTCCATTTTCTCCATTGTATACTTAATATTTTCCCTTTTTTGTAATTGAGCAATTTGGGAACTATTTGTATTTTGAGTTAGCAAAAGTAACTGTATATCCAACAATACCTACTACAGATGTGCTTGATTTTTGTTCATGCTTGTAGGGAAGAACAGCTTTGCACTGGTCCTGTAACAATGGATATCTTGATGCCATTAAGTTACTACTAGACTTTGCTGCTTTCCCTAATCAGATGGAAAACAATGAGGAGAGGTAAGCTGTTGATAAGAACAATATATTGTTGTTCATCTCACATTCTTTCTGCCACATTAAAAAAAACCAAGTATAGATACTGGTTCAGAAATAATAATATCTACATTAAGAATTCCTGAACTAGAAGAAAAGAGCAAAAGTATCATGCAGTGTTGATTTAATATCATGGGATTTTAAAGCTATTCAGAAATTTAGGTAGTACCTTGGGCAAGCTCGCGTTTTACAGAGGAGGAAACTGAGGCCCTCTCTGGCTTATGACTGGCATCAAATCAGGGGAGTCCTAATGGACCAGGAGTAGGAATTCGGGTAGGCCAGCAAAATGTGTGATGTATCAAGAAGTCTCTCCTGATGAAGAGAATATTATCAGTTAGTGGACAAAGGTGCCACTGTGTAGCATGAAAAAATGAGAAGCTAAGATGACAGTTCAGGATTTTAGTTTAGACACTGATTTCATGAATGATAAGAGATCCACAGAGTTAGGCTAGGGATGTTGCCAAGGGCGCATGGCCCAGTAAAAGGCCAGCAGCAGCATGAAGTCTGCAGGAGAGATTCTTGGTGGTATCGGCTCTAAGAAGATTCTAGTGATTTGTAGGTAACAGTTGAGTCTGTGATCGGACTTCAGTACCTGAGCTCTCCCGGCCCGGGTCTGCACTCACTGCAGCGGCCCTTGCTGAGCCGCCACCAGTTCTTTGTCCCTGTCAGGAGGTGGGAGACTTCACAGAGAAGGAGGCACTGTCTCAAGGAAACACGTTTATCCTTTCTGGGGGCACCTCCTTCATCTTTCTGATTTCTTTCAGAACTTTTCCCCATTGTCTATGTCTTTTGTCTATTTTCCAGTTTTGTTTTTTCCATAGTTTGTCTTTTCTGCCTATAAAGTCTTCTTTCTCTCAGACACTCTTCAGTGCCTCCACTTCCTCATTCTCACCATTCATGCCTTTGTAGTCTGGCTTCCATCTTCACATTTATGCTGAAATCTGTGTCTGAATGGTCACTGGCAAATTCCTCATCGATAAATCATATGTCGTCCTCTGGCGCACTCTGTCTGGCCTTTCTGTGTCGCCTGCTCTGTTGACTCCTTTGCTTTGAGACTGTATCTCTTCTAAGCTTCTGTGACAGTTTTCTTCCAGTCATGTCTGCTCATCTCCATTTCTTTGGCTCCTCTTCCATTTTTAAACTTTTTAAATGTAAACATTCTTCAAGAACTGGATCTCCTCCCAGCCTGTGTCCTTTGGCAGTCCGATCTACCACCCAGCTTCCACAGTCCCTTGGTTCTGGCGAGTTCTCAGTCTGTATTTCAGGCTCATCTCTCGCCTTGGCTCATCCTGTCATCTCCTCCTCATTTCCAGCACCACTATTCGATCCTGCCCTCTGGGACTCTTTCTGGGACTCGCACAGTGTCCCTTCAGTGTTTTCCTTCCTTACATCTTTCTGTCATTCAATTCATCTGCTTCCAAAGTAGCCCTCCCTAAATCATATTTCTGACATAATTGTTAATCAGGTCATTCCTCTGTTCAGATGCAGTCTCATCTACCAAGACTGTGCTGATTCCACAGTCATGTGTTCCAAACTATGTTCTCCTCTACACTGTGAATTTGAATAGCAATTAGCACATGGCACTTTATATTTTAATTCTGTGTAATCTGTCCTCCCTATTGGCAAGAACTCTGGAAGATCATGATCATCTCTGCTCACAACACTTTTCATGAAATAGATGCTCAGTAAATAACTGCCATGTTGTCAAGTTGGTGTCTTCAAGTTTGCAGTAGCATTACCCTACTTCACACCTGCATTAGAAGCTTCTGGAATTCTTGAAGCACATGCAGAATTAGATTAAGCAGAAAAGTGTGTCTTACTTTGGGAATGATTATATAAAGAACTCACTTTCTCTATTATAGTGAAATGACAACTGCAAAACAAAAAAAGACTTGAAGATTTAGGGATTTGGACACTTAAAGCTGGAAAGCCAAGTGGAATTGTCAAGGCTGAAGTTTTGACATTACCTCAGATATGTGAGAGGATTGAAACCCTAGAAACCAAAAGGGAAAGGTTAAGACTCCTAAGAATTAGTGTTAATTTATTTCTATGAAGGATTCATTCTATAACAATGTTTACTGTCTCGCTGCTATTTTTTTATGAAATCATAAAAATATATTTTTTCTAATTCAGTTCCCATTTATCTGCTAAACCTTGAATTTCAGGCCTAAGTTGGTGAATTGAGGTGCTTACTGCCTCCTGGAGTAAACATACGTTAATTACAGCCAGAAGGACCAAAGGAAAAAATCCCCCTAACTGTACTTGCCAATCTATAGATGAAAAGAGACAGTGGTAATATCCCCATCCCTTTAATGTTTAATCAGCAATGCATCTTGATGTGCAAGTGTCAGAACCTGGCATGCCTTTTATGTTTATTGACATTCCAGTTTAAGCATTCCGCTCGTCCCATCAGACCATTCCCGCATGGCAAGTCCAATTGTATCTCACCTCTTGTCTTTATCTACATTGTTTCTTGACTGGTTACCATCAATGTAGTGTTAATTTTTCCTTCTCATGCATTGACACCATCCACTTGATGTGCACTGCATGGGCATAATTTTTGCCAACTACTGCTGGCTTTCAGTCAATAGCTATCTGACAGCCATACTCTGACATTGATGGGAATATTCACAGCACTTGAATGTTTCTAAATTGAATTTGGGGCAAAGAAAGATTCAGCAGTAATAATCACAATATGGTCAGTTGCTGAAACTCTAGGTGTAGATTCTAATCTTAAAACCTTGCTAGCTACTTAGATTGTGTCTCCCCAAATCAAAACTTGACTGAGAATCCTAACTTGAATAAACCAGCTATAAAAAATATATTTTTGAGAAAACTGGGGAAATTTGTACTTGAGTGGGCACTAGATCTCACTAAGGAATTCCTTTTAATTTTATTAATACAATAATGACATTGTTGTTATGTCCATATTATTTATATGTGAATACTACATGCAGAGATATTGGATGATAAGGGTTCTGGAATTTTCTTTAAAATACCTTAGCAAAAATAACTGGGTTAGATGAAGCAACTGTGGCAAAAATCTTGCTAATTGTTAAATTTGGGTAATGAGTGTGTACAGAATTATTATGCTATTCTCTCTCCTTTTGTTTATGCTTGAAGTTTCTCACAATAAAATATTTAAATTATTCAAAATGCAATTTTCCATCCACAAGCAGTCTGAGAGACCTGGTTCTTCTCTCCGTCCTTTCACCGTCTGTAGGTGAGGAGGCAGAAGCTCAGAGAAGTGTCAGGAATGCCCAGGGCCGCAGGCTGCTGGCTCCCAGCTCAGCATTCTTTGAGCCACATTACCCTGCATGTTACTTCCTTTTGTCAAGTTTGTAAATTAAGCCATCATTTGGGCCTTACTATCATAAACCAGATTTTGATAATACTACTTGTATACTATGTGAAAGACTCTACATATTAATCATTATAGAAAGATGATCAAGATTACTAAATACATGTTACTTGCACATTGGTTTGAGAAATAGTTTTATGCTGTAGGAGACTTAAATTCAATAACAGATGTGTAGTGGAAGGATTACTGAACAGGGAGTCATGCAATCTTAGTTCTAATCTAGATCCTGCAGGTAACTAGTGACCTAACCTTCAGCAAGTTGCTTCATCTTTCTAGGTCTGTTTATTCATTTATAAAAGGAAGGTATTAACTGAATGACCTCTAAAATTCAATATGCTCTATTATTGTGTAGTTCTGTGACTCTGATAAAAAATATAGTAGCAAAAGGCACTTTAGAATTTATTGTGAAACTTTAAAAAGTTCTGAATTTACTAAATGCTGTCTACTTACAAATCAAGTTTTAAAGTTTGTATACGCACCTCTACTGGCTTCTGGTCCCTGAACAGTAGTGGCAAATTGAACTGTCCTAAAAAGGGGATTCGTTAATTTTACTATGTGGGACATCCTTCTGAATTCAGTTTCTGCTGAAGTAACCAAACCACCCTTTCCTCATACTGAAAATCTCTTACTTTTATGTCTTTCTGTGACTGTTAGGTTAGATTTGAAGAGATCATTTCTTTCCTGTAATCATTGGATGATTTTCTGTGTCTAATAATGCATCCATATAGTCATCCTTTATTTCCACTTCATAAATCCGCTGATTATTTCCTCCTAAACCTCCGATTGCACTGGATTAGAAACCATCACCCAGAGAGAACCATATCGTGGCAGTCGTTAGCATTCATAAATACTAGTGTGAGTCCTATGGAAATAATGTTTATGAAAAGCAACTGTGGTATCACCAGCCATGCTGCAGTGTGTGTCCTGTAATTATAACGGCAGCAGCTGACACTGATTAATCACTTCTTTTATGCCAGGTGCAATGCTATCTTCTTTACATTTATTATTTCATTTTCTCCTCACACCAAGTCTATGATGAGGAAAGGTGGTTCTTAGAAACATCAAGTAAGTTGGTTAAGAAGTAACAGTCATCATTACCATTGTTGGATGGTAGAGTTGGGGTGTTTTCCTTTGATTTTGGTACTTTTGCATTGTTTGAACTCTTAAAATATGTATCATTTTAATAAAGTAATCATTTTTTTTTTAAAAAGGAAAGCATATTTGCCAAGATATTAAACAGTGATTATTTCTGAGGGTGGGATATAGATACTATTATTTTCTTCTGTGTATTTATCCAATTTGTTTTATATTTCCAAAAATAGAAGGGATATATATTTTTAAAAGGAATAGCCTAAAATCACATATCTAAAAAGTAACCAGTTGAGTTTCAAATATATTACTATATGACAATACCCATCTTTTCTAAATAATTATGCACACTGTACAAAATTTAAAAGGCATAAAAGGGCATTCAGTGAAAACAAAATGTCCCTCCTACCCCAGCCACTGATACAACCAGTTTCCTCCCCCGAGGCAAAACTCTCACCAGTTTCTTGGGAAATATCTAGAGATATATTTTACATAGATACGCATACAGGGATATATTCTTTTTATACAAATGGAGCATGCCATGATACTGTTCTGTTTCTTACTCTTTTTTTTTCTTTTTCTTCACTTTAACAAGACATCCTGGAAATTGTTCCTTATTTACTCATATGCTGCAGTAATGGCTGCATTGTGCAGATGACTTCATTACATGGATGGCCCATACTTTATTTAACCAGTCTTCTGTTGATGGACACTGAAGTTGTTTCCATTCTTTTACTATTTCAAACTATGTTTCTATGACTATCCTTGTACATAAAGCATTTCACACTTGAGAACCGATCTGTAGGATAAATGCATGTAAGTGAAATGGCCATGTCAAAGGGCAGATACAGGAATACTTTTGATAAATATTGTCAAATTATTCTCCCTAAAGATTAAAGTATGATAGAGAGCTGCCTGCCTCCATCCTTGCCAGCACAGTGACTATCAAAGTTTCTGATCTTTGCTGATCCAATCATTAAAATGCTCTCCATGTTAGTCTTACTTTGTATTTCACTTAAATGAGAAATATTGAACATATTTTTATATGTTTAGGAGCCAGTAGTATTTCCTATTCTGGTATCTTTTACCTTTGTTTTGGTGTTTTTTTGCCCTGCAAAATTTTGTTGTTTTTACATAGTTGGATTTACCAGTCTTCTCTTATGGTTTCTGAGTTTTGCATTTTTTTTTTTTAGAAAAGACTTCCCACTCCAATATTTTTAAATTTTTTCTATGGTTTCTTGTAGTACTTTCATAGTTTTGCTTTTTATACTTATATTTGTGCTTCTTCCAGAATTCATTTTGTATAAAATGTGATACAAGAATCTTTTTTTTCCCCAGATGGCTTCCCAGTTGTCCCAGCACTATTTAACAATCCATTCTTTGTGCAGTGATTTAAAGGGCCATCCTTATCACATACTAAATCTCTCCATTTGGAGGTATATTTTTTATTTCATGAGCATTACCTGTCAGTAATCATGGGCTCAAACTTATAAATCTCACAGAATATTATTTGCAGGACTTTTTCAATAGTGGGGAGTTATTTGGCACTTAGAGAAGAAGAAAAGTGATCGTGTGTTCTTGCAGCCCCCGTTTGTGAGGTAGCAAGCCGAACTCAGGAGCCAGCATGGCTGGCAACACGGAGACCTTGGCCCCAGCCTCACCCTGGCTTTGCACACCTCAGGGAGGAAAGGAACAGCCCTGGAGTACAGAAGATAGATTTGCTTGAAGAATATTCCACATCTTGAAATGAGGTTTCCTTCTGCTGTATAATATTGCTAGTTAATTGTGCCTTCAATTACATTCCAACACTTTAAAAAAAATCCTCCTACTCCAGGTACACTCCCCTTGATTATGCTCTGCTTGGTGAGCGCCATGAAGTGATCCAGTTCATGTTGGAGCGTGGAGCCCTGTCCATCGCAGCTATTCAAGACATTGCTGCCTTCAAAATCCAAGCTGTCTACAAAGGATATAAGGTCAGAAAAGCTTTTCGAGACCGGAAGAATCTCCTCATGAAGCATGAACAGTTGAGAAAAGATGCTGCTGCCAAGTAAGCTGGAGCTATAGTAGTGTTCCACAGCTCAGAGTCCGTGCAAGCGGGTGGGTGGCGGGAATGGCCAGGAGAAGGAATCTAGAGATCTGAAATCATTTTGATGCCTGTACCACATTGCTGTCCCCTTTCTGCTCACCAGTCCTTCAAAGGATGGAGGCCTATTCTCTACCTGGTGGCTGGTTCCACATCAGGTTAGTCCCTGATGTGCCAGCCCAGGAACAAACCCCCGCCACACCCCCCGTGGCAAGGAGCTGGGAGGTGGGAGTGCTACGTGCAGTAAGATACAATGACAAAACTGGTCTTCTCACCGTTCCCACCTTTCCAAAAGGATTTTACGCCAATTCCTAGCCTACTTTCACTTGAGTAATCTTAAGTCTGGTTTTGATTTGATTAAAGGAACCAAATTGTATAAATAACCTGCTCTCCCCCATCTACTCCCTAACAAACCTATACTTAGTGTAATTTATTCAAGTGATTGAATTCTTTCTATATATACAAAACTCTTGGCTAGAGTCTGCAGATAAAACAGTGACTAAAAGCAAAGTACTTTCCATTCTTTTGGATATTGATACAGAACATGCAGAAGTCATTTGTGCTTACTATATGTACATTGTGATTATTTTAACATAAATGACTGGCTTTAAATTATGTTTTGGTTTGCTTTTTCTTTGATACCTTTGCTGGGTATCAAAGGGCAGGATTGTTGTTAGCAGATATATTTCAAAAACCTCTGCTGATAAAGATGCACTTAACAGGCAGATTCTCAAGAGGTCACTTCCTGACTGTATCTTGAATCTTTCCGGATTTTGAATCCTTCCAAATCATGAATCTTTCCTTATCTTGCCCTTAAGGTAGAAGCATAAGTATAATAAGTAATGATTTTAAATATTGATAAAGGGCAGGATAAACCATAATGTTAGCCTTCAGTAGAGAAGACTGAGAGAAACACATGATTTTTGTGCCTCTGAAGCTGCCAAGGTTGGTGGCATCCTAGAAAATATTATTTTGCTTTCTTGTCTTATTGAGGCTTTCTCCTTTTCACTTTTGCCAAAGAATCCTGGATAACCCAAGGCTTCTACATGCCTCTTTTTCCAGCCTTCTTATAAAAGTTCTCTGCATGTGAGTGACAATTGTGAGCAGGTAATACATGTGACAACTTATCCAGAGTTGCAAATAAATATTCTCTATAAGGGATGGAATATTGTATTTCCTTCTAACTGATGTTTCTATAAACTGCAGTTTAATGTGTGAGAATCTGTCTTCAGAATCTGAAGTGGTATCTACCTGAATATAAGACAGAACCCTACAAAGGCAACACGACTGACTTTGTATGACCCCCAAAAAGGAATATGTTAATCCTAATAGATTGCATTCATTGTTGTTGGAGAGAGGAGGTCCTGGAGTCCTCCTTTCTCCAAAACCCTTTTCCTGCAAAGTAGAAGGGTTATGGTAGAAAGAAGACACAGCTCCAGTGCAGCCTCTGATATTTACTGGTGATGAATTGAACACAGCATTTCTCTCTGAGCCTCAATTTCTTCACCAGTAAAACATGACAAATTAGATGAGTCGATTTCTAGGCATGCTCCATTTCTGGGGAAACCCCCAAATCATCATTGGTGGTGACCTCAGCCTCCTGTTCCCCCCTCCCTTTGTCTGGGGTTGGGGCATTGGTGCTCCTGGGGCCAAGGGTTTGGACAGGCATACTACTGTGTCACTGTAGAGCTGGAAATGAAGAGCCTGTCAGAACATCTCCTGTGCAGAGGATGGGGCTTCAAATAATGGCATGTTTAAATAGAATAGAATGATGGTTTATAATTTATTCCTAACATGGCCTTAACAACTTTCAGCCCAGAGGGTTTGAAATGACAAGGGGATTTAGAGAACCTCTTGTCCAACCCCCTTTCAGTTATTTCACTAATAAGTTTCACTTTTGTGAAAAACAGGTGCTCTTTGTTTTTAGTGCTTAGTTTCTGAATTTTTTAAAAACACGTTCAAATGGGAGTTGTGCTTACTATGATAATATCTAAAATGGCCAAAAGTGAGCAATTATCTTGTCCCTTGCTTTTTCTTAGTCACAGTCTTTCCTTTATTGGATGTCACTATTGAAAGTGTGACCATCCCCTCCTACAAGGCACACAGACCTCCAAGAGAACATTTAAATGGAGAAGAAATGGATTTAATTTGTCTTGATTTTAATTCTCAAAAGTTATTTCTTTAAATCTGAGTCAGTGTTTAATTTTTGTTTGTGGTTTTTGCTTCAAGGAACAAAAAATAAGATTAAATCCAGTCCTTGCAGCTGCCTCGATGTACCTTTCCCAGCTTGTCATGTTAGAATGGCAGGCATCACCTTTCTTAAAGCAAGGTTGTGAAAGGAACTTATTAAACTTGAAGCAAAGTGATTTCTAACTTACTGATAAAGAAATTGGAAGAGAGAACTTTTAGCCATGTTTTCTAAGGTATCTTTTTTAGAAAATACTATTTAAGAGACACCTATAATCCATTTAAAAGCACTTTGTAAGCCATGCCACACCGCCTGTGTTCCCGTGTGAACACCACCACGACCCCCCGCCAGGCACACAGATGGGTGCACACTTGCCTAAGCCTGTCTCATGTTGATCGCTCCTTCCTCAGAGCTTTGCTCTTGCTGGGTTTGTATTTCACTCTGCAATTTCACTCATTGTTTTTCTCCCATCTTTTTAAAGACGGTCAGCCCTGCAGATGTATTCCTTGGACTTCTACTCATGCTCTACTTTTTTCCATTGAAAATATATCCACTCTTAAAACTTAGATTACTTCAGCTCTGTAGGTAACCCATTCATCTGTCCCCCAGCTTGGCCTCCTGGAACTCTAACCCTGCATCATGAGACCCCTGCCAGCTCTAACATTCTATAAGTCAAAGGTCCTAAAACACATGACATTTTCTCATTTCCTTGAGAGGAAATTAAAGACTAAAAATACTAGGCCTGTTATTCAGCAGCATTGAAGAGGTAGAATCTAACAGACCCCTTACATCCAATGAGATACCACCTGAGAAGGTCAGAGCTGAACCTTTTCTCTGTTCTGTGAGGATTCCTCTCACTGGGAATACTCCAGCAGAAACTGAATTATCATCTCTCCAGGGTAATATTTAAGGACTTTCTAAAGTTATATAAAAAGCTGGTCTCTAAGATCTCGTCTGAGCCAAAGATTCTACGAGAGCTCAGGTTTATGTCTTTGCACGTGGTCTTCCCTCTGCCTGAAATAACCTCTCATTTCCTTCCTTTCTAATTTTGTCGTTGTTTCTGTATAGCTTTTCTTTCTCTTCCAGTTTAATTAGTGAATGCCTCCCACATCCCCTGCCTAGTTCTTTAGAGAGAGCACTATTTCAGCACTTAGCACATGTAGAACTCACTCTCTCCAGGAGTATGTGGGTCTGGTCTCCCACAAGACCGTTCCTTCCTTGAGAGCAGGGACCGTGTTGAGTGTGTCCCCATACCCAGTACCTTAGATTAGAGCACTCGCTTCACAGTGAGCAGTGACTAGTGAGTGAGCTGCTCCTATAGCGGATCTAAGGCCTCACATAAGTCACTCATCGTTCAAGGCCTGGTTTACTCCTCAATCAAGTGGAGAGACTGAATCAGATACTCTCTTAGGTCTTCAATTCCAGGACTGTGAGCCTCTGTAAGTGCACCACTTTAACTTGTTTGCCTCACTCAAGCAGCAAACACTTTTATGTACCATTTATTCTCAGACACACACTGGAGCTTATATATTTGTGCATTTGGTTTTCCAGTTCCTTCCATATTTGTTATGAGGAAACTACCATTTGACAAATCATGATTGCTCTTTCTTCTGATTTTTAAAAGAAATATAAGAGTAAAGGGGTTCACCACTGCATATACTTACATGTGAAACTGCACCATTTGGCTTTTAGTGCCCAGTTTTGGAAAAAAGAAGTTAACTCTATCAGACACTGCAGAAATAGGCTGCTGTTTCCCACTCCAGTGGAGTATTCATTTCCATTGCCATGAATACACAGCCTAAGAGAGGTTTGAGAGATGTGATTAAAATTCCACAAAAAAGGGAGTTGTGTGGTTTCAACAATGAGCATTTTCTGAAAATATCATTAGGTCCAGCCCCACAGCTCTTAGACTGTAGGCTCTCTGGCCCCACCAGACCCTGTCACAAGGCAGCTTTACCTACATAACAGTAGTAGTGATCAATTATAATAGTAGATCTTTATAGCTTGCAAAGTTCTTATACATTAATTCATTAAATCTATATAGTAGCCCAGTAAGGTAGACAGGGCAAATATTTGTAATCTTCACAGATGACAAATGTAACACATAGAGGTTAACCTGTCTGAAATCACTCAGCTAGTAAGGGAGAGAGATGGGCCTCAGTCCTACCCTCAGCCAGGCTTCCTACCACTGCTTGGTTCAGGGGAATCACCCCCCAGCCACACTTACGTTAGAGATAGTCTCCAGGCCCTGGCGCCAGCTGATGGGCCAGCATTAGTGTTAACTGTTCGTGGCAGAACCAAGCCCCCAGTCTGTTTTTCTTCTAGCCCAGTGCTTATTCAGTTATGCCAGTGTTGTTTCCAGTAATTATTTAAAGAGTGGTGCCAAGCCACTATCATCAATTTTGTAACACAGTTCAGTAAAAAAAAATCTTCCTGTTACTCTCTAACCTAATGGAGCAGAGCATACCAACATCCTCCTAAATCTTTGAGAAAATTAAGAATATTGGTGGTCCCAATCCTACACCAAGACTATAAACAAGAATTTCATTAAGGCAAAGTCCAGTCACATTGGTACAACAGGACATGCTAACTTGCTGTCCGTTTTCTGTAGGAGCCATTTAAATCACCTTTCAAATCTCTCTTAGGTCTTGTATTGATGGCAGTTGAAACTTAACTTGAATATTTGTGGAGTGGGAAAGAGCCTGCTTATTTCTACAGTGTCTGATAGAATTCATTTCTATTTGTTAAAACTGGGCAAATGCATCTCTCTGAAGAAGCTACACAGAAGGGTAGAAAAGGGCATCAAAGAAAACAAACTTCCAGGACTCAAACTGCCCAGGCCCAGAGGCAGGTCTGTGCCATATTATGCAAATGGAGCATCAAGTCCTGACATGCTGAAGCTGTTAGGTGTTCAAGTCATCTAAGTTATTGCCCTTGAGCTGATTCTCTGCACATCAAGCAGTCTTTTGATCACTCATCTTCTTATTGGCAACTGTATTGTTTTACAATTGACATCTAGGCTACTGGTTTGTAGAACTCCCCATCCTTGGGTAGATCTGGTGTGGGGGACTTTAGGGCACTTATCTGCCCCATATTTGCCAGCCAGCAGTGTGTCCCTTAAATCTCATCTTTCTTGGGTGAAACAGCACAGTTCCTTCAGTCACAGTTTGGAGAACCTCTTCACCCTGTGGCACACAAGACCCAATGCAGATGTTGTCAAGGATCGGATCCACAGTTGACTTTTTCACTTTCTTACTCTGTGAGCCTCTGGGGATCTGCTAAAACTATTCTAGAAAAGATAGTATAAACCAGACTAATTCGCAGCCCATCAAAAGCTATTGTCTGGTCAATTTTTCTTAAGATAATAGAAAAAAGGAGAGGAAAAGGTGGAACTATTTTATACATGAAGATTCTGTCACGTTAATGGATTTTCTGCTAAAACTTTGCTGTGTCATAGAATTTCTTTCTTTCTCTTTAATTTTTCATATAAACTAGAATATCTGATTGGTTCTTTTTCTGGTATGTTTCCTAAACTTACAGAAATAGAGCAAGTTTGTAATATAGCCCACCATGAAGATTAAAGATCTTCCACATTCTGTAATAGTTAAGTTGGAGAAAAAAAAACACTTAAATTTCAGGGCAATTACTGAGTCTAAGAGTTTAGGACTAAAAGCTACATTGGAAGCTAATTTGAAATGCTGTTAATCTCTTTTTGATGCGGTATTACCAGTTTCTTTATATAATCCAATTGATTTGTTAAATGATAGCAAATGAAGTGAAATTTAAAGAACAACCTGTCACTAAGACAAATTTTATAGGAAGGTAAAGCAGCTGAGTCCTAGCTCAACTCTCTATAATTTACCATGTAGCCTGGAGCAAGCCACTTATCTCTCTGCCTCAGTTTCCTTATCTACCAAGGGAAAGTAACCTGAGAAAACTGTGATTCTTTCAAGCTCAGAAAATGAGCAATGGTTCTGGACCTTTCTCCCCCAAGGAGAGTCATACATGTGGGATCATGTTCTGCTCTTGGGAGTTGTGTGTGTGTGTGTGTGTGTGTGTGTGTGTGTGTGTGTGTGTGTGTTGCTGTTATAGCTTTTGTATTAAGACAGTGGTATAGATAAAATAGGATCATATACATGATCCCTATTTCTAATCCCACCCACTATTCTCCAGTGATAACTTTTATCTTTTGCATCAGGAACCACAGCTCTGGAGAACTGCACACCTGTGGGCTATGTGACACCTGGAAGGTTTTTTAAATTCAAAATGTATCAAGTTTTCTAAAACATTAATTTACTTTTATTCACAAGCTGAGGACCTAGTTGTATATTTACATTATTTTACATTACATTATTTCTCCCTAGCCTGCTTACTTGGTTCTACCAAAATGAAACATCACCCTCCTACAAGCCTCCCTCTCCAAAGAAGAAGTCTAGGAAGGCAGACCCCCTTGCTTCCTAGACTTCCTGATCATGCTAAAAGGCTGGATCCCCCGTTTGTCCTGTGGCTCCTTTGTTGGAGGCTCATAAAGGTCTACAGTGACAGGTTTGCCCAAGGCTGATTGTAATTGGCTTCTTGGAATTGAAAAGGAAAGCTGTTGGTTTCCTAAAAGAGAGAAAGATGGCTGCTAAAATAAAAATCTAATTTATCACCTCAGAGGCCCTCTTAATGGCAGTGAGATCCATGCAGTGCCAAGCCAGGCAGCCACACCTGTGTGTCTGGCTGAAGGACCAATATTCTCCTGAAGCATCTCTGTTCATCAGCACTCCCTCTGCCTGCCAGGAGCAAGGCTATTAGATCAATTAGCAGCACTTCAGCCTCTCAGATGCTTCCACCTTCTTCTGAAAAGCAGCCTTGTCCTAGACAGCTCATGCTGAAATGGCACCTGCTAGCACCCATAGAAATCTCAGGCACCGATGGTGGCAGGTTGTCCCACTCGCTCGCTTGCCGCATGCAGCGCAGCACTCAGGGGTCAGCAGTTGGCAAGGCATGGAACAAAACCAAAAGCGATTAAAAACATAAGCGCTATACAGAAGTTAGCACAACCCATCTGGCCACTTTCTCTATGGTGGGACTTGGGGGGAAGCTATTAGAAAGCAAGCCAGGGCCCCGAGTCAGGGGCTTCACCACACAGGGAAGGCAGTTGACAATCCTTGATATAAAGTATAACCCAGATGTCTGTCATCTCTGTCTTCCTTGTCCCTTGAGATCTAAATAAGCTTTGCTAATTTACACAGTCCACGGTCTGCAGAAATCTGAATTCACAGTCCTCAGTCTGCAGAAATCTGAATTCATAGTCAGCAATCTGAGGAAATCTGAATTCACAGTCCGCAGTTTGCAGAAATCTGAATTCTGTGACTTCTTGCTGGCTTTGGGTCTCTGCCTCTGCTCTTGCTTCCATGTCTAGGATCTTAGCTCTGCAACTTGTCAAGTTGCTTATGAAAAAGCATGCATGAGCATGGTAGACCTTACAAAAAGTTGGGGTCATTGAGGAGAATCATATTTCATATCCCATAATGATATGGTTCACAGTCCATACGAGACTTTCCTTATTCTCTGAAGCTTTGCTACTCAAGGTGTGGTCAGAGGACCATCAACACCCAGATAATCTGGGTGCTTGTTAGAAAGGCAGAATCTTGAGCCCTGCCTCAGGTTTGCTAAACCAGAAGCTAGATTTTAACAAGCTCTCAGGGGATGCAGCTGATGAAAGCGTGCGGAACACAGCTCTAAAGGCCTTGTCTGTCACCTCCCCATGAGGCGAGTCTCTCCACCCCAGCCCTCGCTCTGAGCAGGACCCAGTCTGTCATCTTTCCCCTCCCTTCTCTTTTGTTCTTTCATTTCTTCCCTCCCTGTCAGGACCTCAAACCAATTCTTTGTGTCAGGACACAGCAGCCCCCTTCTCTGGAACCTTGGAGCCTGTCACTGCCTAGGCCCTGAAGGTCTCACCTTTTACCAGCACTCAATCCTGTCCCCAAATTAAATAAAAGTTTAATGTAAAATTAAATATTTTAGTACCCCAAAAGAAAGACTCTGGTATCAGCTGCTATGATAAAAGAAACCTATCTCATTGCAAAAGAGATCCCAGATTTTATGTAGATATCTGGTTTCTAAACACACTTATAAATCAATTCCAGATTATACACTATCATATACCTCTTAGACATGGGGAGACTGCATCTCCAAACAGAAAAGTGACTCACTCCTGTCATTTGTGGTTATGGGCAGAGGCAGGACCAGAAAATTTTTTCTATTTCCCAGTGCAGGCTTCTCTCCACTGCCCCCTCATTATTCCACTTTGAACTGAACCCTTCAGTGGCTACCAAATTCTATTCCTGAGCAGGAAACGAATCATCTAGGCAGCAAATATATAGTGGGTGCCTGCTGTATAGCAAGCACTATTCAAAGATCAGAAGAAAGAAAACAGACCCAGTGTTTCCACACTACTTGCTTTTGCCCAAACTGCTCCCTCAAACTGAAGTTCTCATGTGCACCTATGTGCCTGGCAAATTCCTGCACATCTTTGAGAATCAACAGCTGGTGCCTTCTGGATTCCGCCAGAAGAAATCAGTCACTGCTTCCTCTATGCAAGCATACTATTGTAACATTTCTTCCATTATATGTTAGGTATTTGTTTTCTAACTGTTCCCCTCTGAGTAGAAGTTTCCTGAAGGGAGGGTTGAATTCTGTGGTCCTCAGTGTCCAGCACAGGAGAGGATCAGAGGTTTTTTTCCTCCTTTCTTTCCCTTGGAAATCCCTACAATTTAATGACATAGGTCAAAGAAATCCTATCCTTCACACAGCCTTTTCATCCTCAAGCACCTTGCTCCTTTCTGGCCCTGGGCTGCCTCAGACCCATCTGCCTCCCACTCCCACTCATTTCTAGACCTGGCTTCTCCTGGCCAGTCCTCTTACACTCCGTTGCTACCCGAAGGTTCCAGCTTAGCCACCAGCTATTTGTATATGACTTTCTGAAAATCATCCTATCTTCTTGACCTCATCTGCAAACTGAGTGGGGTTAACTCATCAGCTAGACCTCTCAATGGCAGTGTTGCATAGTCAGGTGGGTTATAATCAGCTGTGAGGAGCTTTGTGTTTCTTGTTGTATATCATATAATCATTAAGGTTTGCCAATGGTCTTTTTTAACATAGGGACTAAAGGTTACCCTGTGACTGTGCTTCTCAGTTGCATTCTGATGTGCTTTCTGGAATAGGAGAAAAAGGGGTGTAGTTACAGGCAGCTCCAGGGATCACATGCAAACTTGGGGCACACATACCTTGGGAATGTGCTGTGTCTCACAGAAAAGTTCCATGGCTGCCTGTCATGTGCGTCTCAATAGGGCAAAGATTGATCTATAAGATTCTTTCAGATCCATCATCTTTTGAGCTACAAAGCCTGAACAAAAACACTCCTTTAACTTCTTCCTTTTCCTCCTTGGCTTTGCTTCCAGGAAGCGAGAGGAAGAAAACAAGCGAAGAGAAGCAGAGCAGCAGAAGGGACGGCTGAGCCCAGATTCCTCCAGACCCCAAGCCCCTCCCTGTCTGCCCAGCACCCAGGCCGAGCCCCCCAGGCAGGGCAGGACCCCCAGCAAACAGCCTCCCACCAGCGACATGGCCCAGGGCCCTGAGCACAGGGCCTGCAGAGGGTCTCCAGGCAGAGAGTCTCCAAGCAGAGCTCCCCAGAAGGAGCAGCATCTTTCCCCAGACTTGCAGGGAACAGACCCCAGAAAGCCAAATGGTAGGTGTATTGCCTTTGTTATCTGATGCCCATCCATGGACTGTGGGCTCTGTTGAGTGGTATATGTAGACTTTTTACATTTAAGGTAATTGTGTCATCACTTAAGTCTGCCATTTTATTATTTATTTTCTATGCATTGTCTCTGGTTCTCATTCCTGTTTTTCTTTTCTTGCTTTCCTGTGGGTTACTTGAACATCTTTTAGGATTCCTTCTTGACTGATTCATAAAGTTTTTGAGTATATAATTTCTTTAGTTGTGGTGGTTGCTCTGAGTATTGCAGTATGCTTATACATTACATATATAATATATATTACAAGGGACTTACGACAGTCTACTAGTATCAGCATTTTACCACTTTGAGTAAAATGTGGAAACTTCCTTCCATTTAGGCACCTTTACCTTCCCCACTTTTAAATATCATTGATTGGATATCAGATGGTGTTAAAATTTTTGTTTCAGTCATCTTATTTATAAAACTCATGAGGAAAACGATAGTCAGTTTAATGTAACCACATTTCGGTTTTTATGTTGTTCTATCTGCCTTGTGCTTCAGATTCCTTCTTTTGTCAGTTCCTTTCTGTTTGAGGAACTTTCCTAAGCTGATCTGTAAGGGTAGCTCTGCTAGCAACAAATTCTTTGACTTTTCCTTGTCTGAGAATGTTTTCATTTTGCTCCTGAAGAATTGTTAAACCAGATACGGAATTCACAGCTGGCAGGCCTTTTCCTTTAGCACGTGAAAAAGACTGCCACTTCCTTCTGCCTTCATGGTTTCAGATGAGAAATCCACTGTGCTTTAAATTGATGTTCCTTGGTAACATTCCTAGGTAACATGTCAAATATTTCTCTCTGGCTGCTTTCAAGGTTTTTCTTTATCTTAAGTTTTCAGTAGTTTAATATGATGTATCCTGGCATGGATTTTTGGAGATTATCCTATTTGGATTTTGCTTAATGTGTTGGGGGTGCCCAAGATGACCCCTGGGTTCAGTAATTTGCTAGGACGACTCACAGGACTCAGCACATAGTTGTACTCACAGCTACACTTTATTATAACAAAAGGATACAAGGCAAAATTAGCACAAGGAAAAGGCACATAGAGCAAAGGCTGGAGGAAACCTGGTACAAGTTTCTAAGAGTCTTCCTGGTGGAGTCACAGGACTTGCTTCCTCCAGCAATGAATTCTGATATCCAGTTGGTCAACGTCTTGTCTACCAAGAAAACACACATAAGGCTAGGACTCCAGGCTGGATTTCAGTCACGTAGGTTCCCTCTGCCTAGAATATAACAAAATTCCAAACTCCCAAAAGGAAAGCAGGCATTCAGCATAAACTGTATTATTTGCACAAACCATTGTAAACACATCATCGAGCCATTCTTATCAGAGAATGGTGAGAACCCTCCAGAAATCCAAGTGCAAATGCCAACATAATATCATTGATTGGATATCAGATGGTGTTAAAATTTTTGTTTCAGTCATCTTATTTATAAAACTCATGAGGAAAACGATAGTCAGTTTAATGTAACCACATTTCGGTTTTTATGTTGTTCTATCTGCCTTGTGCTTCAGATTCCTTCTTTTGTCACTTCCTTTCTGTTTGAGGAACTTTCCTAAGCTGATCTGTAAGGGTAGCTCTGCTAGCAACAAATTCTTTGACTTTTCCTTGTCTGAGAATGTTTTCATTTTGCTCCTGAAGAATTGTTAAACCAGATACGGAATTCACAGCTGGCAGGCCTTTTCCTTTAGCACGTGAAAAAGACTGCCACTTCCTTCTGCCTTCATGGTTTCAGATGAGAAATCCACTGTGCTTTAAATTGATGTTCCTTGGTAACATTCCTAGGTAACATGTCAAATATTTCTCTCTGGCTGCTTTCAAGGTTTTTCTTTATCTTAAGTTTTCAGTAGTTTAATATGATGTATCCTGGCATGGATTTTTGGAGATTATCCTATTTGGATTTTGCTTAATGTGTTGGGGGTGCCCAAGATGACCCCTGGGTTCAGTAATTTGCTAGGACGACTCACAGGACTCAGCACATAGTTGTACTCACAGCTACACTTTATTATAACAAAAGGATACAAGGCAAAATTAGCACAAGGAAAAGGCACATAGAGCAAAGGCTGGAGGAAACCTGGTACAAGTTTCTAAGAGTCTTCCTGGTGGAGTCACAGGACTTGCTTCCTCCAGCAATGAATTCTGATATCCAGTTGGTCAACGTCTTGTCTACCAAGAAAACACACATAAGGCTAGGACTCCAGGCTGGATTTCAGTCACGTAGGTTCCCTCTGCCTAGAATATAACAAAATTCCAAACTCCCAAAAGGAAAGCAGGCATTCAGCATAAACTGTATTATTTGCACAAACCATTGTAAACACATCATCGAGCCATTCTTATCAGAGAATGGTGAGAACCCTCCAGAAATCCAAGTGCAAATGCCAACATAGTAAAAAAGGCAAATAATGTCTTAATATTATTATGAAAATAGTTTTGATCTTGTGGACCCCAGAAAGATTTTATGGTATCTCATGGTCACCTAATACAAGGCTTGGACAACTAAATCTCTCTCTCTGAACCTTAATTTCCTTAGCTATGCAATGTGGGTATACTCTCTACCTTGCAAAGCAGTTATGAATAGAAATAAAATAATGTACTTACTACAGCCCAAGACACATAGAAGCTCTTCAGTAACTACCATTATTAAACCTCACTGCTGACGTAGCCAAGACCAACTACATAAAAGTGTACATGAATGGCCACAAATGCATCCAGAATATAATTCCATGACCCACTTACAGTGACAGCGCATCAGTAACATACACCTAAGGATAGTCTGATGCTTTGTCATACATTCATTCATTTATTCATCAACCAGCATTAACTAGATTCCCATGATGTGACAGCCATTTGAATTTCTCAAGTTCCTTCTTAGCTTAGGGTCTTTATCTATAATATTCCCTCTATACATATAGATTAAAAAGTGCCTCTTACTTTTCAGATCTCAGCATGAATGCTCCTTCCTCCATATACATCCATACCACCCCATCAAATGAGGCTTCATTTTCCTGTTCTATGTTCCCATAGATCTTCAGTGCTCCCCTATTAAAAAGTTCATGATTTTTTACTGCTATTACTGGCTTACTTGTCTATTTTCTCCACTAGACTATGGTATCTTTAAGATCAGGATTCTTTTAGCTCTCTACTGGTATGTAACAAACTACACTAAGTGGCTTAGAACGACTGTGATTCTGTGGGTTGGTTGGGCAGTTCCTCTGCAGGCTTCACCTGGCCTCATTTATGTGACTGCATTTAGGCAGAGGATCAGCTGAACTGGGTGGTCTAAGATAGACTGACACAAATGTCTCGCAGTTGATGCTGACTATCAGCTGGGATTCCTTGACTCTGCTTTACTCCTCCAGTAGGCTACACTGGCTCACTTACATAGTGGTCTCAGGACATCATTCTAAGAAAACAAACGCTATCTTAAGTTACAAGACCTCTTGAGGAATAGGCTCTAAAACTTGCACATATATTCTATTGATCAAAGCAAGTTATGTGACCAGACCAGACTAAAGGATATGGAAGAATAGATTCAATCTTTGTGCATACTAGAACAAGAATAATTTTGGCTACTAAACAATCTATCACAATTGTTTTTTAGTCATAGATTATTCACATTCCTCCCACATGCAAAATAGTCTCACCCTTATCTCAGCATCCCAAAATCTCATCCCAGTTATCACATTAAGCTTAAAGTCCAGGATCTCAAGACCTGTTTCATGTCCAGATGTCAAGGTTCCCTAAATGAATCTTTCTGATTCAGAGACCAGTCAACCAAAAACATCAACCCCCCCCACACACACCCAACAAGCAATGGTGATATAGGGACAGAATAACCACAGTAGGAGGCACATAGCCACTAGTCTGTAACAGTTCTGAAAGCCACCCAGTTTTACATTAGCAGGGCCCTACTTTGAAGTATGGATTGCTCCTTAATTAGGATCTGGTTTTACCCCATGTGGTGTTTCTTCTGAAAGCCACCCAGTTTTACATTAGCAGGGCCCTACTTTGAAGTATGGATTGCTCCTTAATTAGGATCTGGTTTTACCCCATGTGGTGTTTCCTATCCCATTATTCTTGGTTCTTGGCCATCTGGATTTTTGGCTCTGCTCTCTGAGAAGTCTTCTTTCGAATAAGACTTGGCCCATGTTTGCAGCTGCGTGACCTTCTCAGCCTGTTTCCTGCCTATAGGAAATTGGGGCTCCAGAAACTCCTTTTTGTTTTGAACTGCCTCAGGAGCTCAAGGTGTGGTACGTTCAGTGATAAAAGTTATCACAAAAACATCATGAGTTTCCTGTCAGTCTGACTGGGTCACTCCATGTTCCAAAACCACAGCCACAATTATTTTTTGGACAGGTTTTGGGTGGCTACTTTGAGTGGCTCAGGCTGCTATGGGGAAATCCACTTGAGATTCCTAGAATTTCTTTTGTCTAGCTGAGAGTACCTACCAAGGACCATCTTAAATATTTTTGAGGTCTTAATAGAGAGTTACACAGCCGTACTCTTGATGTGACCTTTATCCTTAGGTCATATCACACAATGAGACTCTCTTGCTGGCTGTAAAATTTTCATATGAAAATATGAAAAGTTTTCTTTTCTAACCCAACACATCATGGGCTCTCTATATTTCCTCTTGCAAACTGAGTTCTTTCTTTCTTTCTTCTCATACCTTACCATATGCAGCTAAAAAAGGGCATTAAGATTTTCTTCAGCATTTCACCTGTATATCTTCTAAGCCATATCTAAAGCCCATTAGGTTTATTTTCCATCTTCTAAGTTACTGAAGGTGACAATTTTGCCAATTATTCTGCCAGTGGATAACGGAGTTCATAGTTCTTCAGACTCCAATAGCAATCTCTCCTCTGCTGTTCTAGTCTTCACGAACAGTCTCTTTATTGCCTTCCCAGCTTCTGCCCCCTAGCCAGTCCCAAAGTCAGTGCTGCATGTGTT